CTTGAGGCCGACCTTGAGGCGGCGTCTCTGGATATCGACCACCACGTCCTTGCCCTTCAGCCTGAAGCCCACCTTGAAGGGAACAGCCAGCTGCAGCAAAAAGGAGCAGATCTCAGGAGCTGGGCAGGGAAATTCCTCCTGACCCTCCCAAGCTGCTGTTCCAAGCCTTTCTGCCTTGGTTTCACCAGAGCCAGACAGAGCAGGGACTCCTTTCCTTGAGGTACTGAGTGAGCAGGAGGTGAAAGGGACCATAAAAAGGGAAGCAGATTTTAATGCCTGGTTAAAACAAGACCAAAATTTGGCAAACTACAACTCCAGGGAATTTTACTGAGTGTCCAGGCTCTCCCCCAGACACAGAAACACTGCTGTTTCCAGCAAGCTTCCAGAGGCAACTGAGACACAGGGAATTGGCTTCATCTCTCACCAGCACCTGCTCGTATTGCCTGTCTCAGATTCCTCAGATCCTGGTCACAAAGCACTACTTACATCCAATTCTGAAAGAGTCTGTGTCCATCTATAATTTGGGAGGTCAGCTCCATTCCCAGAGTTGGGTTTAAGTTTTCCTTTATCCTTCTCATCTTCCTCTTCATCATCTGTTCCCTAAGCAATTCAAGTGTAAAGAAAAGCTTTTCCAGTTTCCACTATAACAACAGCTCTTAGGTTTTATAAGGATTGCAGGTCACTTGTTTGTATTTTATATCCACTTAAATTTAGCTCCATAATTAATAGCTGCTTCTGATACAACATGACTACAAGGAAAAAAAAAAACCAAAAAACCAAAAGCCCTCTGTAGTGGCACATTTAGGAATTAAATGTGTATTAAAGCCAAATTTTCTAATTTGTATTTTCCAAGCGTGTATTTTGGACAGGGCTTGGAGCAGCCTGGTGCAGTGGAAGGTGTGATGAGCTTTAAGGTCCCTTCCAACCCACCCCATTCTATGATTCTAAAGTATCTCCAGCCGAGTTTTACCTGTTTGTTGGAATCTGAAGATTCCCCTTCCTCCTCTGAGGGTTTCACTGGGACACTGTTACCCTGCCCTTGTGCCTCTTTCTTCTGTTGGAAAAGAGAAGAGCAGGAACACGCTCAGCCAAGAGCTGGCACTTTGTGTCACCTCCTGAGCTGGCACTAGATGGCCCCAGCCTTTCAGCTCAGGCTGAGGAGCGCCACTCACTGCATCCCAGGTTGGAAAGAGGGAATTTTCAGCCCTTAGAAGAGGAACTGCCAGGGGGAACTCGTCTCACTTGGACAAAGAGCAAGCCTGAGCCGCTCCAGCTCCTGAGAGCCACAGGGAGGCCAGAGGCACCTGCAGACCCCTGACACGGCTCTCACCTGGTCGATTTCCAGCTGCAGCCTTTCTGCCTCCTCCTCTGTGAGCTCCTTGATGCGAGGCTCGCTGGGCTGCTGCCCGTCCCTGGCCAGGCGTGCGGCGCGCTCGGCCTTCTCGCGCCGCTCGGCCTCCTGCCGCGCCTTCTTCTCCCTGCGCTCCTTCTGCGCCAGCTTGTTGTGGTGGCTGAAAGCCTCTGTGATCAGCTGGGGGTTAAAAAACACCAGCCACTTCAAACTCTGTCTCCTGAGGAGCACAGAACATCTGCTGAGTCACACAGATGGTGAGAATTTTCCCTTCATCTTTGCTCAGGTTTTTTTTTTTTTCTTTTTTTTTTTGACTGAAAATCTAGAGATTTTTCAATTCAAAAAACAGAAGAGGAAGTGAAAAGGGAGGGAAAAAGAGAAAATTGGAAATATTTAAATGTAGTCCTCCCTAGTTACACAGAGTATGTTTCCAGGAGATAACAGTGAAATAAAAATCCT